GAGAGAGAGAGAGAGAGAGAGAGAGAGAGAGAGAGAGAGAGAGACGGACAGAGAGATAGAGAGGGGGAGAGAAAGAGAGAGAACGTCCAGTTACATAACGGCGGATTTATGTAGGTTTCGCGTTTACGTCGTAAAAGACGGCGCTTTAAGGACGCACAATACAACGATATTGCCAATATATCACTCGCGGAGAGAGTCGCGCGAGAGAGCGCAGATGTCCTATGCGTAATATCAATAACATCGGGAGGAAACGCGAGCTGCAAAACGGAAGCGCTCCGTCTAGCAAATAGCAAGCCGTCGCTTGATGTCCCCGATGCAGAAATCCCGCTCCCGGATTCCAATAATTCAGCGGCATAATGCATCCGCGCTCTGACGGGATTTCTCACTGGGATTTTCGCGCGACGAATTATTATTTTTCTGTTTTGAAGTCACGGTGAATTTTCGGACCGCATAGGTGTGTTTAGTACGAACGATAATATAGGTAATATAATTGCTTTTTTCCAGGTGAAAATTTCCCTCGATTTTCTTCTGAAACAATTAAATCGCGCATCGCGTTTATACTATATACGTTACCGTCTATTTTAGCGAGAAGATATCGGATAATCGTGTCACAGAGAAAACACTAAGGTCGACATTAATAGTTGTCATCTAAAATTTGCCTCACATAAAACGTTTAGGTTTTTACCCAGAATTAGATCCAATTCTTCCAGTTCAATTATGTGATATACGTGACATTTATATCTTTAATGGCGTTTCAACCAAAACTCTCATTTATTTTTGAATTCAAACTTAAATATTTCACTGGAGACAAGTTTTAAGTAATGTCTATTCATACAAGTTTAAGGATATCATTCGTCTAGATATGGGTGTCATAACGAAATATTAATGTTAATAGGCTTAAATATTAATGGGCTTTTCGTCCATGCATACAAAATGATTGTGTCCCGAGTCTGAATTTTCTCTTTCTACTTTCGACCTCAATATTCGATTTAACGCCTACTTTGATACTCTGCAGTCTGTATCAAGCTCTGCTGATTCTATTTAACCTAGCTTTACTGAGATGTCCTCTTTAGGACCTACAAGTGGCATTTTCCTACCATTCAGAGACACTGTGTAGGATTTCAGTTTCCACGTGTATCATATATACACCGATTCTTCTGGATATACTGATGTTGGAAAATTCAGGTCCAAAGTAGGGCTAACATTTTGACTTAGGTGAAGACCATGATACTCTGAAAGTGGTACTCTGGTCTGCTTTGTTGCCCGTTCGTACATGTTTGAGTGGGCTTCTCATTTATGCAGGGTGTAACTAAACCCTGCAGATCTCTCAACTAATATTTGTTCTGCAGATCACAACAGACATAAAAACAGTAATATTCCTCTTGTTGAGGCAACTATATTATGTATATATATGAAGACGTATTAACTGAAAACATTACGTATTATACGAATCATGGCTGTGAGAACTGTGTAGATGGGCATTTAGAAATAGCAACATTTAATGCCATATCCATTTGATTCGAAATCACACAGTCTGGTTCCATTTAATTCGAAATCACTTCTGTCTGGCCACGTAGAATACGTGGATGTGGCGACCAGAGCAGTTTCCTCCGCGCGCGCGTTAATTTTACCTACCACCTGCAGATCGATGCGATTTCGATGCTTATTGGAGCAGCAATTTTCGCCGGCGCCCTTCGTCGCGCGCGAGGAGAACACTGCCCGCTATGTGAAAGCAACAATCGCGCAAACAGCCGGCCGAAGTTCTTGGTAAAAGAGAGCCGGCAAGTTTTTGCATTCTAACGGGAGCAGGTAGCGTTCGTGGAAGGTGCAATCTATTACGAGTGCTATTTTACGGCGAGCGTGCATATGCATAGCTTAGATCGATGGAGCTTTTCGATCGGTTGTGTATAAACAGAGCTAATGACACATGCACGTAATATTAAGGCGGCCGCGCCGGCGGCGACGTGTCGTGAGCAGCGCGCGACTCGCGACGGCGATAACCATCCCCCGCGCTTTTTATCGATCCCCGCCGAAATTATTACGATTGATTAAAATACCACACGGAGCCAGCCGGTGGCCGACCGGCACGGAATTTAGACTTGAGTCCGCGTGGCGTTCTGCAAATGCAAGAAAGGCCGGACGGATCGCCGGGGCGAGTTGTCGCCGCCGCGTTTTGAAAATCGATGCACTCCGCGCCACGATCTCCGCGCGTTTTTCTTTTTTCCTCTCCTTTTTTCTCTCCACTGTGTGCCAGGGAGTGGCTATTAACTGAATTAATTTGTCACGCAGACGGCGACCCGATCAAGCTGCCGGAAAATCTGGAAACCCTGCCGCGGGCCGAGCACTTTCCAACTCAGAGGCACCGATGGAACACCAACGAGGTAAGCCGTCCCATATCGGTCATTTTAGTTTAGATATTAAATTCACGGGTCAATAGAGAACACGACACGCAACCTAAATACCCGACGGCCCGTCCGTCGATGTCATATTTCTCGATCGCATCGCGGGCATCGTGTTAATGTCTCGCTGTATATATCGTCACGCTGTCGGGCTGCAATTTCGCGTAGCCTGTACGAATCGATGGTCGGCCGGACAAACACGAAAATACGCGTGAGGTGAGAAAAAAGCGCGAGAGAGAGAAAGAGAGAACGAAATATTCGAGGGGAAATCAAACGGCGAAAACGCAAACAAGAGCGGAACATGTCCGGGAACGTATCTTCGCGCGTCTTGAATAATAAATGCCGCGTGAGCGCTCGGTAATTATGCCCTTTCGCCCTTCTATCCCCCTCGATTGACATCCACGCTCGCACAACATACGGCTCGATGCACGGCTCATTTTGCCGGGACGTGCAAACACACTCGTCCGACAACAAGCGTTAATGCGCTATTAGCGAGCAATAATCCGAATTACTAACGGTAAGCGAGTGTGGCAGAGCTCGGGTATGCAATGTCCTCCCAAATAAATCGGCATACCGTATCGTCGGAAGCGCGGCGAATACCTCTTACGCTACGTGGCGGTAGGAAACCGGGCCAAAGTACCAACAATGCGTCTTACATCCGGATTCTGGCTCGCATTCTGGCTCCCTCGCGGCCGTCCCTTTCCGCGATCGGGGCCGCGTGGCCCGGCTCCGGCGCGAATTTCGCTATCACCGGCCGATCCGCTATTACCGGAATTCCGATGGAGCATTTCGCGCGTCGTTCCCCTTTTTTCCGCCGTGCATTTTACGCGCGACCTCCTCCTCCTCCTCGCCGCGGTTGCCGTCGCCGCCACAGCCGGATGTATATATTTACGCGACCGCGAGTAAAGTGGGAAGGTAAATAACACGGCAGAGAGAGCCTGGAGTACACGCGCGCGCGCGCGATCCGGTGGTCACCGGCGACTGTTCGCGGTCGCAGACGGTGGATGCAGTCGATGCAACCCTCGCGGCGTGCAGTGTCCAGGCTCGTCGCTGGGGATGTGATTGCTCGCGAGTTGCCTCTCGAGCGGGAGAGGCCTCGGCGCGCCTCGGCGTTCCCGAATCCAAATTTTAGCCCTTACTTCGGATTCCGAACACCTGTACATTCTGAAGGATCAATGTAATACGCATGGAATAAAAAAAATCCTACTTAGCGCCTCTAAGAATTAATAGTCGTCACTTGCAACTTGTCCTATCTGAAATACTCAGATTTGAATTAGAGTTAGAGATGATGAGTTTTTTTTTTTTTGAATTATATGATATTTATGACATTATATTTGTAAAATGGCGATTCAGCTGAAAATTTCATGTCTAACTCTAAACTAAAATCTGAGTGAGCCTCATCTGAGGCAAGTTTCAAGTAACGACTACTAATATGGATCTCGGATATGTACTAATATTTATTACTTGAACCACACTTCAGATGAAATACTTATATTTAAATTCAGAGTCAAATGAGAGCTTTTCAGTTGAATCTCGTGATTGCAGATATAAGTGTCACATAAATCATAATTCAACTGAAAAACTTGGATCTAACTCTAAATAAAAATCCGAGTGTCTCATATGAGACAAGTATCAAGTGACAATTATTAATACGGACCTAAGTGGCAGAGAACGCAGAAAATGCCACTTGTAGGCTCTAAAGAGGATCTCTCGGCGAAGCCAGCAAGTTAAACAGAATCAAAGGAGATAGACTTCAGAGTAAGAAAAGGCTTTAAGGGAATATTAAGGTCGAAAGTAGGATTCAAATTTTGGTGCGCAGATTTGTTGCTTAATTTTTGACGATTCTGAACCCTTCAGTAGACGCGTGGTCCGTAGACGTAGACCATATTATTTGTATATCACTAAGCAGGGACACATCCATTTTCTATATATATATATATAGTTTATTATTTATACATATATCATATATTTCCGAAAAAATTTTGGCATTGGAAGATGTTGAATGAATACTTCATATAATTATTTTAAAATAATAAATAATAAATAATCGGATACAATGAACCTCATCTACGAGGATCGAAACATAGTTTACAGTGGTAGATCACGCGCCTAAAGTGAGGACAAAACTGCACGCGCTCTACTGGAAGGTTAATCGATCGGTTCACGTCGAGGCGTTTTGGAAACGGACGATTCGACGTTTGCAAAATTATGACGAGTATCCTCGAGACGTGAGCCTTGCTGCCGCCTCACCCTGTTCCACAAGAATGCGCCCCAAGCCAGCGCCAGCGATAGCATCGCGGAAACGTGTCGTTACCACGTGACTGATACATTCCCGAATTGTTCCGTCGCGAGCGCCGTTTTGCGCGTCAATCGCGTTCATTCTGAAAAATCCGACGGATTGATTAAAGCGCTGTGTCCGCGCGCGGCAAGGACAGACTGCTATTTCAGCATTTCGCCGGAGGGCGTAAAATTCCTGGTCACGACCCTGACGACGTCGGTGTGTGCAACGGCGCGGCCCCGCGCCGTTGTGTGCAGCGGCGAGGGTGCACGTACCCACATCCACACACCCGCACTCACACACCCACAGCGTGGCCCACCCGTTCGCTCCCTCGCGCGGGTGCGCGCGCGAGGCGCGCTGCACACGTAGCTGCCGGGGTGCACCGATGCAGTCCACCGCTATACTCTGACCCAGGTCGGTCGGCCTCCGATCAATAGCTGGAGCCAGCGAGAGCTCGCAGCCGGCGGCGCTGAGCTTTTCAGTATCGCCGAACCGAACTCAATTGCGATCCCCGTGCACCTCGCGCGACGACTATCATTGTAAACGATAAGTCGACCGCCTCCACCCTTTCTTCCTCTACCTCTTCCTCCTCCTGTTCCTTCTCTTCTTATACCCTTGTCCCCCTCGCTTGTCCTTCCGCCGTTTCTCGCCTACTTTGTTCGCACACACGCTTGTTACCTTCTTCCCGAACCACCCTCCGGTAGGTACCGGAAATTAAAAGTTCCTGAAGACAGAGAGAGAGAGAGAGAGAGAGAGAGAGAGAGAGAGAGAGAGAGAGAGAGTCGTCGACATCGCCTTCTCCCGAGGAGTCCTTCTCGGGCGGTGGCGAGAAGAGGGGTTGCTTCATTCGCTTTCTTCAACCGCCTTCCTTTCGTTACTTTGTCTGGCTCGCGCTGTCCGTCTCTACTGCTACCGGCGCGTTCTGCGGCCTATGTTCTTCCCTTCAAGGTGCATACAGTCGTCACTTGGAGCGATGAATATCGCTCGCTTGCTCGCCTACTTTTGCCTGCCCACCTGCCAGTCTCTCTGTCGCTTCGCGCGCATATCTATTAGATTTCCCCGCGATTTTTCCGACGTTTCTCCCGACGGTTCTCCTAACGATCCGGTAAAAAACGCACCCACGCGACGCTCATTCCGTCGCGACGGGGGCGTCGCTGATTCCGTCGCGGCGGAATGACGTACATACGTACGCATGATTGTCAGACACGTCGGGGAGACATTCGCGGCTGACACGACGAATGCGGCGCAATATGCATCGGTAATGAGGTCAACGCAGAAGGGGCGAAATACCGTGTCACGGTGTTTGTCTTATTCGCCGCCTATATTATCAAGTCCTTGGTCCTTCGAGAATTATCGATTGCACGAGCCAACAAATTTGAGCTTCGGTGAAGAACAGGGATCACGCAAAGTGATTTATTCGAATGTTGATATGCCCTCCCCCGAGAATAGCACTGACAACTTCTTCCCGTGGCTCCGACCTATTTATAACCATTGATTAGATACATTTTATGTGGGAGAGAGAGAGAGGGAGGGAGGGGGAGAGAGAGAGAGAGAGCGGGCAATTTCATGGAATGACGCTCCGGTGGAGAAATAACGAGAATATTTTCCTCGTCCTCCTCCTCTTCCTCCGCTGATCTCTTTTTTTTATTCCTCCTCCCCGCGAGTGAATTTCCTATCGGGAGGATCTCGTTTCCGGATATAGCAGGCCAGAGAAAGAGAGACTCCCGCTCGCGCGTCTGTGTTCTGACTGCTGCTGTTCCCACCTATCGGCGGTGTGACACTCGATCCCCGATACTTGTCAATTACGGTCGCTCGATCCCCAATGCGTCCCGTCATCGCCTCGGCGCGAACTGTCGCCATCGTTTCGTCACGTCGCGCCTCTTGTTCCCGCAAGCAGAAAACACGTTCGTCCGGCATTCAACATCCGCAAAACTCGCGTCTGTCCTTTCCCGCCGCGGGATCCGTATTAAACCAGAGAAGTTGCTGGGTCGTGCGGCGCGGCTGCGGGAGAAGTTCAATCTTATTTACATTTGTCAACGTCCCTCGGCGGCGTTATTCCGCGACACCCAGGGATTTATGAAACCACTCAGCTCGGTCGATTCATTTCCGCGGGAGTGGGCTTCCGAGGGCCAAGGGAAAGAGGAAGAAGAAGATTTTGCGGACAGGTAGCGGAGTAAATTTTCGTGCGCGGCCGCGGAAAGTTTATAAATCCCTGGTGGGCTCCGCCGAAAATCCGCCGCGTCTGGGAATTCTCTCTTCAACGTGATCTTGTTTTCTCGCAGCTCCTCCCCGTGTAACGTTCTCCACCCTCCCCCTTCCCTCGTCACCGCCGCGGTCGCTTCCAGTCATTTTTCATGCGAGTTCCGCGCGGTGTACGTTGATCGTAAGTGGATCCCGCACTCTCTCATGCCGACGTCCGACGACGAGTCGTCGACGATCAAAATGTCCCGCGGGTTGATTTATTCGTCGCGCGTCCTCGCACGCCGACTTCGACGCGGCATCGTTCTCGCGCGGGGACTTAGGTGAAAACCGCGCGAGAATTAAAGTAATGACTGCCGTCGCCGCGTTCAAGGTTGTTCTCACACGCACGTTTTGCGACTCGCATTCCCGCCGGTGAATTAAATTCATTTAATGTTGAGGTAAAAGCACCAATACTTAGGCACTAATGACATTGGCACTTAACTCTGGGCATTCTTATTGTTTT